CCCCCCCCCCCCCAACCAAAAAAAAAAACTCCTCTGACATGTCCATTCTCGACCTCCAAGTTTCACAGTGGATCAGATTGAAAATTTGAGGAACGACACTGTCTCTTCTGCCTGGGCACCCTATAGCCCGGAGGACTTAACATTGAGTTCGCCTAATTTCAAATAACCTCCCCACCCATCCCCTGGCTCCCTTTCCAACCCCACCACCTCCCTTCCATTCTATCTGCTGACCCTCCCTTCCAGCTACCAACTGGATTCGTGCCTCCCATTGGCCTACCAGGTGGTACCTCCTACCAGTGTCCACTTATCACCCCCATTCCGCTACTGTCCCCTCCCTCTCATCTGTAACTCCCCCTTACCCCACATCTGGTCCTGAAGAAGGGTAATACTTGAAAAGTTGACTTTTCTTTTCCTCCGGATGCTGCTTGGCTTGCTGTGTTCTTCTAGCCTCCTGTTTGTCTACCTTGGATCTGATCTGTTGGTTGTGGGATGGCTTAGCTCTGTCACTTGCTGCTTATGCTGTTTGGCATGCAGTCAGTCCTGTTTGGTGACCTCACCAGGTTGATACCTTGTCTTCAGGTATGCCCGGTACGACTGGCATGTCTTTCTGCACTCCCCATTGAACCAGGGTTGATCCCTTGGCCTGATGGTAAGTGTTGAGTGGGGGATATGTCGAGCCATGAGGTGACAGATTGTGCGAGAGTACAATTCTGCTGTTGATGGCCCACAGCACCTCATGGATAACAAGGTGTAGAGCTGGATGAGCACAGCAGGCCAAGCAGCATCAGAGGAGCAGGAAGGCTGACGTTTCGGGCCTAGACCCTTCTTCACCTCGTGGATGCCGAGTCTTCAGTTGACACATTTGTTCAAAGCCTGTCCCATTTAGCACAGTGATAGTGCCACTCAACACAATGCAGGTTATTTTCAAAGTGAAGGTGGGACTTTTTTTTTTATTAAATTCAAATTCCATCATCCGCCGTGGTGGGATTCGAACCTGTGTCCCCGGAACGTTATCGGGGTCACTGGTTTAGTAGTCTAATGATAGTACCACGAAGCCATCACCTTCCCTCTTAATATTTTAACCATGCCTTAGCTTATCTGCTGCTGTGAAACTCTTATCCATTTCTCTGTAGGAATTGCTCAGGAAATTTATACTACCATGCACAATTCCTCTGCATCTGCAGCTGTTTGAAAAGGCACTTTAAAGCTGCAGGGAAGGCAAATACAATGTTAGCATTGATTTTGAGAGGGCTAGAATGCAACAGCATGGATATACTGCTGAGGCTGAATAAGCCTCTGGTCAGACTGCAGTTGGAATGTTGTCAGCAGTTTTGGGCTCTATATCTAAGGAAGGTTGTGTTGGCCTTCCAGGGGGTCCAGAGGGCTGTTACAAAAATTCTCCTTCAGATGAAAGGCTTGTGATATGAGAAGCAGTTGAGGACTCTGGATCTGTATTTGATGGAGTTTCGAAAGATATGGAGAGGGGTCTGATTGGAACTTGGGGAATACTGAGAGACTTGGATAGAGCGGACGTGAAAAAGATGTTTCCACTGGTAGAGAGTCTAGAAACCAAGAACACAGATGCAGAGTGAAGGATGACCCTTTAGAAGTGAGATGAGGAATTATTTTCAGCCAGAGGGTGGTGGCTCTGTGGAACTCATTGCCACAAAAAGTTGTAGCAGCCAAATCACTACTAAAGACAGAATAAATGGTTTCTTGATTAATAAGGGGATCAAGGGTTACGGGGAGAAGGCAGGAGAATTGGTTGAGAAACATATCAACCGAGATCGAATGGTGGAGCAGACACGATAGGCCAAATGGCCTAAATCTGCTTCTATAACTTCTGGGTTCCAACTCTCATTAAGCTTGATAATTACCTAGGAAAAATAAGATGATTAAAAGCTTTCTCTAAATCTTCAGTAATTATTAAACTGAACCCCAGAGTCACAAATTGCACCCCAACTTTGACAACCCTGACCCAGCTAGCTGATCTGACCTGACACACAACTGATGGATCACACTTCACTTCCCCTGACCTCCCTAAGGACTCATTGATTTACCTGGTACTTACCTCCTCACCCATCTGACAACCAATCCGTCAGCCTGTGCCCCTCACCAGTGTGGCACTGTACCCCAATGCCACCTGACATCCTTCTCCACTCCCCCCACCCATCCATCCACCGACCCGACACCCTACCTCCTCACCAGCTGCCACTTCTTCCACTTCACTTAGCTTACGCTTTTATCTTTCTTATGTCATTGTCAAAGAAGCTTTGAAGTGGCTTTGAAGCTCTGAAGTGTGGAAGTAATTGTTTAAAAAAAAGCGCGTTTTGACCTGTAGCTCTCCTCCTGCACTGAGTGGATTTCTCCCTGGTTTCCTCCATTGGGTGCTTTTGTGAACGGCCAGACTTGGAATCTTGGCTGGAGAAATTGCTGATAGTCATATGGCTAATTGTAATGAGGATTATAGTTGGTAAAATTTATTCTGATGCTGATTGGAATTTATCAATTTTAATTGTACTACAAGCTGAATGATCCCTGGAATGGAGTGATTGTGTTATGAGCAAAGGCTTAAACAACTTAGGACTCTTGAGGTTGGTTGGCTCGCCGAGCTGGTTTGTTGTTCTGCAGACGTTTCATTACCATGCTGGGTAACGTCATCCGTGCAGCCTCTGATGAAGCGTCGGTGTGTTTTCTCACCTGGTTTTTAAACTCTGGAGTCCATTGAGCTGGATTGCCTCACTTCTGGTTTTCCTTCGCAGTGGAGTGTATATGGGGTCGAGTTCTATGTGTTTATTAATGGCTTTCTTCATGGAGTGCCAGGCTTCTAGGAATTCCCGTGCCTGTCTCTGCTTAGCTTGTCCCAAGATTTTGGGACAACACCAAACTTCATTGAAACATATTGGATTCTTAAGGGACTTGGCAGGGTGAATGCTGAGAGATTATGCCCACTTCCATGAGGAGAAACAGTCTCAGAATAAAGAGGTACCAATTTAAGACTGAGACGAGAGGAGTTTCTTTACTGAGAGGGCTCAGAGTCTTTGGAACTCCTTGTCACTGAAAGCTATGAGGGCAGAGGTCCTTGTGTATGTTTATGGCTGAGGTAGATTCTTTATCAGTAGGAGAATTAAGGGTTACGGGAAAAGGCAAGAAAGTGGACTTGAGGAATGCTGGATCAGCCATGATCGTAATTGAATGGCAGAGCAGGCTCGAGTGTCAAAATGGCCTAATCCTGTTCCTATTTCTTACGGTCTTAACAACGTTCTCTTCATCTCTCTCTCTCTCTCTCTCTCTCTTCAAACCTGGAGGATGGCTACATGGAGAAAGTTCTTAGAGAGTATGTCTGCTGTTGCACGGCTTGAAGCTTCAGAATAGCATTTTGGAAATTGGTGTGTTAGAATTAAAAATACTTCAGTAGCTTAAAAAGTATGCATTCTGAGCCCATAAGGATAATTCCTATCTGTATTTTTGCACTTGTAGAACATCTCAATTTGAGCCAATGTTAAACGTGATTTTTGACCCTACCCGAGGGGTATTCTGGAGTCTTGTGATGTTGTGCAAGCATACCGAACTGTTCTGTTCTCAACTCCTATTTCCTGCATTTCTGTCTGTTTCATGCTTGAAGTTTGACGTAAATGTATCGTGTGAAGCCTGATGCAAGTGACCATTTTTAACTTTAATTGTGAAGAATTAATATTTTTATTAGTATTGAATTTTCTTCCCTCAGCTTTGCAGGTAGTGTATGCCGGATCATAACTCACTGCATAAAAACAAGTATCATTTCCCCTGAGGTTGTTTTGTCAATTATCTGATATCTGCATCCTCCAGTTAACGCTCCCACCCATAGAAACAGTTTATGTTTTGATCTTGAAAGACCACATCAGCATAAGCTATATTTCTGTCCTTGACTAGCTGCACTGCTCCACAATGAGCAGTATCTCGGACGAATGGTATTTCATCAGTTACCACATTTACTCAAGGAACATAGACAAAACTGGAAACAGCACTAAATTTTCCACCTCAACGTTTTCTGGCCTTTGGGACTGAATGTTGAGTTCAACGACCACCATTGAGCATGGGCATTGTCCTCCAATTTGGTTTCAACCCCTTCTGCCCTTGTGTCTTGTTTTCATTCTCAACAAAGCTGCAATTTTTTTTAACGATTCGCACTTATCTTTAATAGCTATTCTGCATTCTATGTTCCTCCTCTCCTAACAATAGCACTCACTTTGTCTTTTGATATGGGCACCCTCACCATTTAGTCCACTCACTCCTCCCTCTTTGTCAATAGTACAAAAATCATTTTGCTGCTCCTTCAATTCCAGAGCGGAGTCATATTGTCTTAACATTAACTCTGTTTCTCTCTCCACACGTGCTCCCAGGCCTGCTGAGTTTCTCCAGCAATTTGTTTTCATCGCTAACGTTAATTTGTTGTGTCTACATGCTAAAACACAGACTTTGAATGTAAGCTCATGAAAGTGCTGCTGCGACAATTCAAGTAGTGAACGTAACTCTGTTATTGTGGTAGAAAGGGTTGCTTTGACATCCGGTTGAGTTGACCTTGGTTTGTCCAGTATTGAACATCATGTTATCATTGACTGTCCTTTTGTAAGTATAGATAAATCAAGTAGAATTGGTGACAAATTTCACTGCCTTGGTTTTTGACCCTGGCACTAAAAGTCAAGTTTCTTTTCAATCAGTGTTGGATTGTCATCCAAGTTTGCCTTGGTCAATATTTAATATCTTTGAACTGAAACATTTAGTGCCTTCTCAGTAAATATGTTACCTGCTATGGATTGTCAGTGCAGCATTTGTGATACGTCAGTGGATAGCCCTCTGGTTGCACTGTGACACTTCAGTTTCCTGTCTCAGTTGTAATTTAATAGCCCCATACTTGATGTTACAAGTATGATCTGACTTAGTACGAACGATGTCAGTGTGTTTACCAGTTACCAGATTTGCCAGAGCAATATGAAGCATTTGGCATGTTGAGGTTTGATTTGGTGAGATCATGGTTAATTTATATCTTAATTCAGTCCATAGAACTTGGCTACACATCCCTTTGAACAAGGCATAGAGGAACACGACAACCTGCAAGTTCACCTCTGGGTCACTCACTATTTTGACATGGAAACCTTATCGTTTCTTTAGTGTTGCTGGGTCACAATCCGAGGACTTGCCCCTTAACAGCATTGTGGGGCTGTCTGTAGCGCATAGGAGGCAGGGTTTTAAGAGGCAGCCCACCATCTTGTCATGGGCAACTAGGGATGGGCAATAAATGCTGGCCTAGTTCACCATATAAACTAGCAAAATTTTATACATTTCCCAATTAAATTTAATTGTTCTAATGTTTTGAGTCACAGATTTCTACAAATTTATATCTGTTAAGATGGGTTTTGCTAACATCTTGCCCGAATGTCATGCTTCTGATTGTAAACTCCCTTGTCCTATATGCCTCCACTTCCAGAAAGTTGTTCTTCAATCTATTGTATTGGTTCCTTCCAAAACCTTTAAAACATCAATAAAATCAACATGGAGATAGTAGGGGGGAGAGATAGTAGGAACTGCAGATGCCGGAGAATCTGAGATAACAAGGTATAGAGCTGGATGAACACAGCAGGCCGAGCAGGAAGGCTGACGTTTCAGGTCTGGACCTTTCATCAGAAATGGCTGAATTTCTGAAGAAGGATCCAGACCCGAAACATCCGCTTTCCTGCTCCTCTGATGCTGCCTGACCTGCTATGTTCGTTCAGCTCCACACCTTGTTATCTAATAAAATCAACACAATATTTTGTAAAGCAGAGAACATAAACTCAAATTTTGTAATGGCACTCGATCTGAACCTTGAAGCCATGGTAATGTTTGAGGAACCTGTGCATTTTTTCCAAGACAGTTAATTCCTTTTAAGATACAATGCCCAGATGTGTAACCAGTTATCCACTGCTGATCTTAACAGGACTTCATGTATCTATAGCGAAGTTTCTTCGTTTCATGTTCTAGCCACCACTCACAGGTATGGTATTTGAATTGTAAAATGTTTTCCATGCATGAGCTTTATTTAATTAAAATGCACAACCAAATAAATGGGAGAAAATGCATAATTATGTTTATTAATCTGTGGTTAAATTTGCTTCTAGATGTGATGTTGAAACACGATACCAGGGTAACCCACTGAAAGGAACCTGTTACTGTAAGTCAAATGCACTTTAAGTGATGAAAAATGAAAATGAATCAAATTGAATCACTTGCCCAAACCCGTATTTGTGGAAAATTGTCCACAACTAGACATATCCCTGCTCTGTTATCGATTGCCTTTAGTTATCTCTGAAAATTTTAATTGAACAATTATCAATCTATGGACCAAGACCTGTGACAATATCATGATTTAAGAAGTTGGCGAGGCCCAGGGCTGAAAGTTGCGTTGAATATAACTAGTACTTTTCTCCCCCCATTGTAGGAAAGCTACTCTTCAAAAATGAATTGTTTTTATTGCACATCAGTTTTCAGAGTGTTATTAATAGATGAAGTGCGCAAAAAGTATGTGTATGGAGTATAATGTGGGAAAATGTGAAGTTGTTCATTTTGGAAGGGAGAACAAAAGAATGTTATTTCAATGGAAAAAAAACTGCAGAAAGCTGAAACACAAAGGCACTTGGGAGACACTTTGTGCACAAAACACAGAAAGCTAGCACTAAGGTACATAGGTCATCAGGAAGGCGAATGGAATATTGACCCTTATTTCAAGGGGGTTGGACCAATAGAGTAGGGAAGTCTTCCTGCAACTGTCCATGGTGCTGGTGAGACCACATCTGGAGTACTATGAGCAGTTTTGGTCCCCCTTTTTAAGAAATGATATAATCTCTTTTGGAGGTAGATCAAAGAAGTTGCACTAGAATGGTTCCTGGTTTCGAGGGATTGTCTTTTGAGCAAAGGCCAAACAAGTTGGGACTCTACCAACTGGTATTTACAAGAAAAAGAGATCTTGTTAGGGGCTTGACAGGGTCAGTACTGAAAGGATGCTTCCCCACATGGGGAGGTCTCGGACCAGTGGGCATAATCTCAGAATAAAGGAGCACCAATTTAAGACTGAGATGAGGAGGAATTTCTTCTCTCAGGGTTGAGAGTCTTTGGAACTCCTTGCCACGGAGAGCTGTGGGGCCAGAGTACTTGTGTAAATTCGTGCAAGATGGTGGCAGAGTAGGACGCTCCAGCGAGAGCTCCTCTGCACCGCTTATTCTTTTTATCTTCTTTTTCTGTCCTTGTTTCTCTCTTCTGCAGTTTTTTCTTTCAAACTTTTAACTTGTTAAACTTACCCAGAGAGAATGGGGGAGGCAACTCTCAGACAGCAGGCCATTGATGGCGTGTCCCTGACCAGGCTGGCGCAGGAGGCGAGTCTTGGAGGCAAACCTGAGACATAGCCAGCGTGACAGGTGGGTCCTGGACCAGAGGCTGGCATGGGAGACGAGTCCTGGAGATGTGTCCGGACCAGTGGCTGGTGTGGGGAGACGAGTCCCAGACTGGAGGTTGCCATGGACTTGAAGCGAAGCCTTGAGTTTTGAAGCCCGGTGTGGTCTGGTGGTGAGGTGCTAGCGCAGATTTGGTGAAAAAGACTGTAATTCGAGTACTTTTTAAAGAACCTTTTATTCTTAGGCTGGACTTCTATTTATTATTCTTTCAATTCTTCAACGAATGCTTAAGTCTGTGCCTAGGTAGCCTGTACCAAAGATGGCACCAGAAGCGGCGACATGGTAAACTTTTCACTGCACTCATTTGTTTGCACGTGAAAATAAAGCCAAAGCCAATTCTAATTCTAGTCCTTATTTTAAGGCTGAGAGAGATTCTTAATCAGTACGGAAATCTTTTATTACAGGAAAAGGCAGGAAAGTGGAGGTGAGGGATGTCGGATCAGCCATGATCTTATTGAGTGGCAGAGCAGGCTTACAGGGCCGAGTGACTGACTTCTGTTCCTATTTCTTAAGGTCTTCAGGTCATTAACATGGCCAAGTTCCTTAACAAAATTTTTAAAAATTGTCGCAAATTGATTTTTGGATGTATTTTTTGGATAGTGATCAGTTTATTTAAAAAAAGTGAAGAAAGTAATTGTGCGCTTTCTTTAATAAACAATATAGAATCCGAGGTTGTGTAAATAGTGGCCCAGAATGCCAAAACGCACAGGTAACACCAAATCAATTTTATTCAAAGGCCGACTACCTTGTCGGAATAGCAACAGTAGATTACAGACAATAATCTCTTGAGCTTGCTCTGACGTTCAAAAGTACCATTGCCGATCTGGTCTTCGCCTCAACTCCACTTTCCCCATAAACCTTGACTCCCTCTCCACTCATAATGTCAGTCTTGAATATCTTCACTGATTCAGCCTCAACAGTTCCCGAGAGTACGGTTCCCAAAGATTCATAACCCTGTGGAAGCAATTCATCCTCTTCTCTGTTTAAAGTGACTAAATCCTTACTTTGTAATTATGATCCCAAGCTCTAGATTCCCCTATCTGGGGAACATGAATTCAGTTTCTGCACTGAGAGATTGAAAATTGTAGAGCCATTGTTTTCAAACCTTCTTGAGAGGGGTGGCGTGATGGCTCAGGGGTGGTATGGTAGCTCAGTGGTTAGCACAACTGCCTTGCAGTGCCAAGAACCTTCCTGTCTGGAGTTTGCATATTCTCCCAGTGTCTGTGTGCATTTCCTATGGGTGCTCCAGTTTCCTCCCACAGTACAAAAATGTGCAGGCTAGGTAAATTGGCCATGCTAAATTGCCCACAGTGTCCAGGGATGTACAGGACAGGTGGATAAGCCATGGGAAATGCAGGGTTACAGGGATAATATAGTGGGGTGGGTCTGGGTGGGATGCTCGTCAGAGGGCCCGCTCCCACACTGAAGGGATTCTATTATTCTATAATTTAAAAAAAAATCATGGTGGCAGAGGGTTAGAGAGTTGTAAATGTTACAGTCTTGCTCAAAAATTAATTGGTATCAAAGAATCTTCTCAATGGTAATTTGACCAAATTGATAGTCACCTTTCAAATTCCAGTTAAATAAGGAAAATGAACACTGATTTGTTGTAATAAGTGATTGGTGTCATTTGATGAAGTGATATAAGTTTGATAGGGAATGCTGTGATGGGGTGTATGTGGTCTTCGAGAGTGCATTAAAACAGCGCCTCGCAACAAACTTGTGAGCAATAAAACTCATGGAATAAAAGGGAAAGGAGCAATGTGGGTATGAATTTAATAGAGTGACAGGGAAAGAGTTTAGAGTGGAGTTTACCAGGATTTGATGTTAATGACACTCTTCCGGATGCATATTCAGACCTGAATATGAGAACCTAGGACTGTGGAGCCCACTTAATACTGTACATTAAGATCATAGAACATAGAACATTACAGCGCAGTACAGGCCCTTTGGCCCTCGATGTTGCGCCGACCTGTGAAACCAATCTGGAGCCCATCTAACCTAAACTATTCCATTATCATCCATATGTTTATCCAATGACCATTTAAATGCCCTTAAAGTTGGCGAGTCTACTATTTTTGCAGGCAGGGCATTCCACGCCCTTACTACTCTCTGAGTAAAGAACCTACCTCTGACATCTGTCCTATATCTATCACCCCTCAATTTAAAGCTATGTCCCCTCGTGCTAGCCATCACCATCCGAGGAAAAAGGCTCCCACTGTCCACCCTATCTAATCCTCTGATCATCTTGTATGTCTCTATCAAGTCACCTCTTAAAACCTTCTTCTCTCTAACGAAAACAGCCTCAAGACCCTCAGCCTTTCCTCATAAGACCTTCCCTCCATACCAGGCAACATCCTGGTAAATCTCCTCTGCACCCTTTCCAATGCTTCCACATCCTTCCTATAATGCGGTGACCAGAACTGTACGCAATACTCCAAGTGCGGCCGCACCAGAGTTTTGTACAGCTGCAACATGACCTCATGGCTCCGAAACTCAATCCCTCGACCAATAAAACCTAACATACTGTACGCCTTCTTAACAACACTATCAACCTGGGTGGCAACTTTCAGTGATCTATGCACATGGACACCGAGATCTTTCTGCTCATCCACACTACCAAGAATCTTACCATCAGCCCAGTAATCTGTATTCCTGTTACTCCTTCCACAGTGAATCACCTCACACTTTTCCGCATTAAACTCCATTTGCCACCTCTCAGCCCAGCTCTGCAGCTTATCTATGTCCCTCTGTAACCTGCAACATCCTTCTGCACTATCCACAACTCCACCAACTTTGGTGTCATCCGCAAATTTACTAACCCATCCTTCTACGCCCTCATCCAGGTCATTTATAAAAATGACAAACAGCAGTGGCCCCAAAACAGATCCTTGAGGTACACCACTAGTAACTGAACTCCAGGATGAACATTTCCCATCAACCACCAACCTCTGTCTTCTTACAGCTAGCCAATTTCTGATCCAAACCGCTAAATCACCCTCAATCTCATGCCTCCGTATTTTCTGCAATAGCCTACCATGGGGAACCTTATCAAACGCTTTACTGAAATCCAAATACACCACATCAACCGCTTTACCCTCATCCACCTGTTTGGTCACCTTCTCAAAGAACTCAATAAGGTTTGTGAGGCACGACCTACCCTTCACAAAACCGTGTTGACTATCCCTAATCAAATTATTCCTTTCTAGATGATTATAAATCCTATCTCTTATAATCCTTTCCAACACTTTACCCACAACCGAAGTAAGGCTCACTGGTCTATAATTACCAGGGTTGTCTCTACTCCCCTTCTTGAACAAGGGGTCAACATTTGCTAGTCTCCAGTCTTCTGGCACTATTCCCGAAGACAATGACGACATAAAGATCAAAGCCAAAGGCTCTGCAATCTCCTCCTTAGCTTCCCAGAGAATCCTAGGATAAATCCCATCCGGCCCAGGGGACTGATCTATTTTCACACCTTCCAGAATTGCTAACACCTCCTCCTTATGAACCTCAATCCCGGCTAGTCTAATAGACTGTATCTCAGTATTCTCCTCGACTACATTGTCTTTGTCTTTTTCCTGTGTGAATACTGACGAAAAATATTCATTTAGCACCTCTCCTATCTCTTTGGACTCCACGCACAACTTCCCACTACTGTCCTTGACCGGCCCCAGTCTTACTCTAGTCATTCTTTTATTCCTGACATACCTATAGAAAGCTTTAGGGTTTTCCTTGATCCTA